ATCTGGATGGGTCTGGAGCGTATCATGTTGAATAAAATCAGTCAGAGGAAGAGAAACAGACTCAGAATCATCTCCCATATGTGAGATAGAAAGAAACTTTGTTGGGGAATGCAAAAGCCCTCAAGTCGATAGAGGTGAAGAGCAGGAGATGGTCCTGAATTGGGAGCGTGCTGAAGGAGCCGGGGTGGAGTTAGGGAAGGATCAGCGCCTGCCACAGAGGGAGGGAAACGGGACGCTCTTGACACCTGAAACTCAAAAATATCTTTGTAGTTTTGTAATCGATGGTGCTTCAATGAAAAAAATCAGTAGGTTTCTGTTATGTCATGGCACTGCTTCAGACACTTGAGATATCAGTGAATACACCAAGACATCTCTGCATTGGAGAAGTGTATCTGTTTTGAGAAACAGAAACTTAAGAATTTAAATATTTGAAAACTGTAAATGTGAAACATAAGTATTTTTTTCAACATAGTGCTCAAACTTAGTATTTATGTTTTTGGTGTTTGGGCCATACTTGGTGATGCTCAGGGGTTACTCTGGGATCTCTATGGTCCCCTGGCAGTGCTAAGGGGACTGTCGGGGTGTGAGGGATTGCACCTGCGTAGGCCATGTGCACGGCAAAAGCCCTACTTGCTGTACTATCACCCTAGACCCCAAACTTATAAATATTATGCATAATTTATAGTGGCTTAGAAAAGGATTAAACATGTATCAGATTAGGCCATGATTTTAAAGGATGTGGCAGAAAACTCAAGAACAAGATGGCTGAGCAGAGTACAAAGCAGATAGGAAACCGAGCCGTGAGCAAGGCTAGGTAGGGGCAGGGTGCTTCAGGCCTGGGGAATCAGCGCACAGGCTCCCGAGCATCGAGAGAGCCAGGGAGCAGCAGGCTGACAGACGACAGGTGCTGCGGGTCGCCAGCTGGGCAGCAAGTACACTGAACGTTCTTGGTTTCTGCAGCTTAGTAGTAGACTTGTAAAAAACCTTTAGGAAGTTACTTATCTTCATTTTCTTGTTTGGCGTGAGTTAATCACTTGACTTGCTGTTAATCATCGATTTGCTCGAGTGGGCACCAGTAACGTCTCCATTCTTCCCTGTCGCGTGCTAGTATAGCCCAATGGCATCTGTTCGTTCTAGGAACACGAAGAGCCTCAAACTGAGATTGGTTCAGGGTCTTGACGAAGAAGTTTGACCATCTTGTAGGTGGGCAGCCACTCGGTCTTTTGACATCCCGTAGAATCCAGTCAGTAACAGCTCTAGTCCAGCGGTTGTCTCCAAATCTCATTACGTGTCCAGTCCATCTGATTTTTTTCTTTTTGGGTTACACCTGGCGATGCACAGGGGTTACTCCTGGTTCATGCACTCAGGAATTACTCCTGGCGGTGCTCAGGGGACCATATGTGATGCTGGGAATCGAATCTGGGTCGGCCGTGTGCAAGGCAAACGCCCTACCTGCTGTGCTATGGCTCCAGCCCCTCTTTTTTTTTTTTTTTTTCTTTTTGGCAGCCCGTCTGATTTTTGATGCCTTGGCAAACGAGACAGCGTCCCTGATTCTTGACTGACTGTTGAGGAGGTTGGAACTCCGGATTCTTTCTCTCATTTGAGTGAAACGTGATATTCCAAGCATAGCTCTTTCGATTCCTCTTTGGGAGACCCGAATAGCCTTCTCATCCTGTTTGCATAGGGCCCAGGTCTGTGAGGCGTATGTTAATGCAGGAAGAACAGTGGAATCGAAGAGATGTGCCCTGAGCCGGAGGTTCTTGGTCCTCTTAGCTATTTCTTAGACGCTCTTGAAGGCGTTCCAAGCCCCTCTCTTACTCCTGTGCAACTCAGGTGCAAGGTCATTCGTCATGTTGACTTCTTGACCTACCTAGGTACACATAACTGTTGCATTTGGGGATGGTCGTTCCATTGAGAGCGAATGGAATGTCAGGAACGAGACTGTTTCTCATAAACATTGTCTTCGTGAGATTCAGCTGGAATCCGACCTTTCCACACTCACGGTCAAAGTCAGCCAGCATTTGTGCCACTTGGCTAATGTTTGGTGTTATTAGAATGATGTCATCAGCAAAGCGGAGGTGGTGTAGTTGCCAACCGTCTATCTTCACTCCCATTCCTTCCCATTCCAGTCATCGCATGACGTTCTTGAGGTTGGCACTGAAGAGTTTCGGTGAAATGGTATCACCCTGCCGAACCCCTCTCTTGACATGATCACTTCTTTGTAGAATGGTGAGATCCTGGTAGTGAATCCGTAATAGAGCTCACGGAGGATCCTCATTGGCTAGGGCTTCAGTGACCTCCACTTCCTCCACTTCCTCCACTGCCTCCACTACCTCCACTACCTCCACTACCCAGGCGTGAGTTAATACTGGCAGAATCCTAGAAATACTGCTAGGCAAACTCTTGTATGTCCGTGGAAAAGGAAAGGTGATGGGATAAGTATTCCAGAATTCTTGCGTATGAATTTTAGACTTTGGGGTGCTGGGGGGAACGAGGAGTTCCTTTTGTTCATGCTTCATCGTTTTTCCTTTTCCTTTTAACATTAGGTACATTTGTATGACAGCCTTAATTAGGGTTTCAATAAGAAATGACTCAGTGACTTTGGTGAAAATGTTTGCAACAGAAAATTACACTTTCAAAAAGATTTGTCCAGTCTGTATGTATTAACACATGTGAAGACGTACACAAGTGTCCTGGTTGTGAACTACAGTACCCAATTGACTTCTACAAAAACTTATGTAAAACCTATAATTTCAAGATCGTTTTGCTTCTAGTATGAACTCTGCTGTACCTTTACAGCATTCTTTCTGTAGCAGTGTTAGAAATTCTGGTTTTGAAAACAGGAACAGAATAACAGAGTGGTACAGAAAGTTTTATTTTACCCGTTTTTGTGTGTAGTTCTGTGACTGTAGTTCTGTACGTAAATGTAGTTCTGTGACTCTTTGTTCCTTTTTTCACTATTGCTATAGTACTGGATATTTAAAGATAGTTTGGCATAATTGAGGAGAATGGTTCACAGGTGCTTTGAACTTGGGTTCCAAAAAAGAGCTTAGTACAAGTAAATTATTTCAAAATAGATTTTTTTCACATGCTTAAGGACTAGAAAGCATTGAATTGTCAGAAAGGCTATACTTGTAGTTCCTTGATAAGACTGTATAACTGAAATTAACATGCTCCATTATTTTGGGTTTCCCCTTTGTTTTACAAAGCTTTAAATACTGTGGTTTGCAAAGTCATTCATATTCAGATATCCAGTGTTCTGACGCCAGCCCCACTAGTGTGACCTTCCTCCATCCTAGTCCCCAGGGTCCCACCTGCCCTCAGTCCTGCCCCCTCATCAGGCACAAAATCATTTGTTCTGTGTGCTTGTTACAATGAAATGCCAAAGGAATTACCAAAAATTACGTAAGTAGAAGAAAGTTTGGAAAGTTGTGATGTCTCACAGTGGGGCCACTAAAGCCCTTGTCTGAAGTTTGTTGGTGGTTCCCACGCTTGGTTGGCTTCTCAGCTGCTTTCCCACCTTATGTGGTGTGCTCCTGCTAGGCTGTTAGGGTGGTGGAGTTCAGAAGCGTCTTGTGCAGCTGTGCACTGCAGAAACTTCGGGATCTGTGGAGCCATATGGTGAGTTCAGCGGCTTGGCTTGCATCTTTCTTGAGGTGAGGCTTGAACCTGGAAACCTGGGCTGTCCTTGTGTGGCAGGGCCTCTCTGGTGTGGGTGTGGCTGCTGGGGCTCTGGGTAGTTGCCGGGTGTGGGGGGGTGGAGGAGGGCTGTCCATCTCTATACCAGGAGAGCCCCAGGTTTCCCAGCCTAAAAACCGGTGGACCAGGAGTTGTGCGTTCAGCGTCACTGCAGAGATGAGTTGTGGAGCAGTGCTGTGGGCATGGGCGTGGGTGTGGCTTCTGGGCTGCAGCACAGAGGGACTCGCATCCCCGTGACAAATCCTACATGTCATGGTGTACGATTTTTTTGATGAATTGTTGCATCCAGTGTGCTTATATTTTGTGGAGGATCTTTGCATTTGCGTTCATAAGAGTATTGGCCTATGATTCTCTTTTTTGGTGGTGTCTCTGTCTGCTTTTTGTATCAGGATGATGTCTGCTTCGTGGAAACTATTTTGGCATGTTTCTGTTCTTCAGTTTCCTGGAAGAGCCTGAAAAGGATTGGCCGTAGGTCCTCTCTTTAAAGGTTTGAAAGAATTCGCTAGTGAATCCATCTGGGCCTTGGCTTTTGTTTTTGGGAAACTTCTTGATCACCATTTCAGTTTTCTCTATAGTGATAGGTCTCTTAGGTTCTTGGGGTTTAGCCTTGGAAAGTTATAGGAGTCCGGAAGTTTATCATTTCCTTTTAGATTTTCTCATTTCATGGCATAAAGTTTTTCAAAGTAATCTCTTGAATATCTATGGTGTCTGTTATGATGTCTCCTCTTTCACTTCTGATTTGGTTTTTAAGGTTCTCTCTCTCTCCCTGTTTATTGATCTTTATTTTTGAGATCTGAAAAATGTTTTTGATAGCAGTTCATTATTACCAGTTGAGTCTTCTAGGCTACCGTTGTCACTCAGTAAGCCTGGTGGGGTTCTGTTCCTTTTCAGTCAGAGTTGTTTCTTGGGTTTTTCTTTTTTTTTTGTGGTTCGGTGACTACTGTTAAAGTTTCTTTGTATTTTCATAGTGAGTTACAGGGAAGTGAAGAAATGTACGGCCTCGTGTCTTTGTGAGTGGGGTGAACCCTGACCTAGAGGCAGGATGGTGATGCTTAGCAACCCACTGGCCTCAGTTTCCTGGTTCCCGGGTCATTTCTTATTTTGTGATAATTTAGCACTAATGGGGTTTTACAATTGTACTAGGTGTTACGTGTTGCTAATCTTAATTAAACAAAGTCAACCATGGAAAAGTACTGCTTGTATTTAGTACATTTAGAGAAATTACATTACCTGATTTTAAAGTTATGTCTAATCCTGAGTCTTTTGGGGTTAATTTGTATCTTTTTTTTTTTTTTTGGTAGGGCGGAAGAAGAGAAGTAAGCTGCTTCGAAATTCAGCCACATGATCTGTCGGGATGGATGTTTGTCTGACATATTATATAGAGGTAATCCAGTATTGTATTAAGCAGTCTTTAATTTTTACCTCTTTGGTAGTACTTGGCATTTACCAATGGTCATTTTTCTGTTTTAGTTCCCTTATTTTAGGAAAACCGATGATCCTCTTCTGTTTTGTTTTTTATTGGTGCATGGTGTGTAAAGAAAATTATATATTTAACAGTTCTTGAATATTTACATCTGTTAGTGGTAGTCTTATACAATTATTAATGAACATAAATTTCCTCAAGTTCCTTGTTAACTTTGAGGATTCGGAAATGAACAGGCGAAAATACTAAAAATTTATTGGCTATATTTTGAGATTTCCTTCTATTTGCTAGTGATTGTCATGTTTAGCATTTCTCACTCCTTAATCAAATATCTTATAAGAAGAACATACTTAATCAGTAGAAAATTTTATTCAGCTTCAAAAAGGGCTTTTAAAAATGGCATTTAAATATGCCCATTCTCATTTACTGTTAACATTAGTGTGTGAATGTTTATTCTTTCAGACATTATGTGTTCCTCAAGCCTTTGCATATATGTGTTTATATGTTTGGTACAAATGAACACTAATTTTTTCAGTATTCTGTCTCTTTTATTGTTAATCTTGTTCTTTGTCCTCATTTCATATTTTACTGTAAATTATATTCACTGAGTGAATTTGAGCATTTCTCCCACTATTGGCTTATATAATCAACATTTGAATATGATATTAGGTATTTTGTAAACTGTAGATATTTAGCAATTTTGGTGCTATTGTAAGTGGTAGTTTAGTGAATGTTCTTTCTTTTGTCTTTGCACATATTTAAAAATATATGTGCATAAAAAATTCTAGGGAAGGATTTATATGACAAAATGTTATGTACACTTAATAGTTTTGTGGATGAATTTTTTAAAGGATTACTCCATGTCAGTTGTCTGGGAAAATGGTAATCTCTTTATTTCTTTGACACAACTAACTAGTGTCAGGTTTATTGTTAGTTTTTTGTTTAGTACTCAGAATTTTGTTACAATGAATTTGTGTATTTCCCTCGTTGTTGGCCTTATATGTCACTGTAATACGTTGAACACATTCCTGTCATTGTTAGGCCAGTTATTATCACTCACTTTTAGTTTACTTTTGTGTTCTAGCTTTGCCTTGTAGAATTTTAAATTCTTAAATTGGTGGCCTTTTTCTTACTTTGCTGGGGGTGAGGTAGGGCTTCGTGCCAGTCTTAAAGCTCTTCACCAGGGCCTGGGAGGCAGCGCAGCATGCTGGAGTGCATGCTTGGCATGTGGCAGCTTTAGGTTCGATTCCTGGCCCTGCATGGCTCCTGCATGGCTTTGCTATGTGTGTCCCCTGAGCACTGAGCCAGAGAAGTCTCCTCAGCTACCCAGCACTGTGGGTCACGACTCTCAACCCCATCCCTCTACAACAAAATGGAATTTTCAGTAGTGATGGGACTTCCTATCAGAACATTGCTGGATGACATGTAAAAGTTTATTTTAGTGACATAAAATTGTTGTATTTTCATATTTGATAGTTTCGGATCCTGTGAAACTGTTGTACTTAAAAGCATTATAAGGGTAACTATTTTCGTAGCTTAAATTATTAAAAGTTTGATGTATATTGAATGTATTTGATCTGAGCACTGTATTTAGAGATCGGTATTGGTCTCGTTAGACAGTTGTCCCATTCCTATGATGCATTTCTTTTCTGGCCCGTGTTCAGTACGGCCCATACTCAAAATGCGGCTTCTCACACACTGAATTCCCGTGATGACGTGTGTCTGAATTCAGTTTTGTTCATCTACCTATCTCTATAAAAGGATTTAGCAAAGGAATTGCCTGTAAACTTAACATACATAAGTTTCTATTTTGGTATCCTGAGGGTTCTCCAAGTGCTCAGTGCCTGCAGATTCCTTATGGAAGTTCATTGAACAGGCTGCTAGTGGCTCAGTGTGAAGATCTGATGCAGCTTGGGCCAGGCCTGCGATGCAGGAGACCACCTGGGTGACCCGAGCGGTGCTTGGGGGCTTCCATGGTGATACACAGGGCACCACTGATGCCAGGGATCAAATTGGACTCGGCTGCAAGCAAGGCAAGGACCATAATCCCTGTAGCAGCTCTGGTCTCTACATAAAGTTTTATACAAATGATTGATATTAGTATATTAACTATAACAGTTATAAAGTTAAAATTCTTGGGAGTGATTTACTTGAAGAAAAAATTGAAACTGCTCAGAATTAAGGTAGAAGATGTGATGTGAGTTAGTTCGGATTTTTAATTTCTCTTTGGGGGCTATCCCAGGGCTTACACCTGTCTCTGTTCAGGGGTTACTTCTGGTGGTACAGGGGATGGAACCAGAGTCGGCTGCTTGCAAGGCCAGTGCCTTAATGCCAGTGTGGTCTCTCTAGCCCCTGGTCAGATTTTTGAAAAGATATGCAATCTGTCATTTTGCTATAGAAGTATAATTGATTGAGGTTTATTTATCTAATCTTGTGTGGCATGGTTTAACTCCTGTTTTATGGATTCATGAGGGGGAAATTTTTGCAAGATTGAAAAAATAAAAATAGTTTCATTTCTTCTGCTGTAAATATACTAGTTCTGTTTAGTTGCTTGCTTTATCTAATATGATCTGATCTGTTCTCACCTGTTGTCGTTTCACTAGTGAGAGCCCTTATATAGCATTGAATAGAAAACAGACATTGGGATCTTAGCAGGAAAGCAGTCAGTAGTATTGCTTGTTAACATTGGTAGGTTTTTGTAGATGGTCTCCCTGTGTGTGTGTGTGTGTATGTATGTGTGTGTTCCCCCCCTTTTTTTTACATATACACATACATTTAAAAATTTTTTAAATTGACTTACCGTGAGAGCATTACAAAATTGTTCATGATTGTGACTTTTTTGTATATGGTGCCAGGGAATTGAACCCAGATTTCGTGAATATAATTTCTGTACTGTACCACTAGATACATCATGGCCTGTTGTTTTTATGGTGAACTATTGTAAAAATATTTAGGAGACATATATGTGGATAGATTTTATATTTTTGACTTGTATCAAATTATATCCGAATTTATCAATTTAATTACAAAATGTGGCTTCTGTCTTTGTTTTGTGAAAGTTTGTGAAGGTATGGTAGTTATTTAAATATTTAATTGAGAGCCCAGAGTGTTGGTATAGAGGTGGGGCGCTTGCCTCGATGTAGCACTTCAGTTCCTGGCAGCCCATACAGTCTTCAGAGCTCTCTGGGAGAAATCCTTGAGTGCAGAGTTGAATGTAAGCCCTGAGTACCACCAGGTGTGGCCCACAAACCAAAAGAGATCTGTGTATTTCATTAATAAAGCCATTTTCTTTTTTTAATAGGAAGATTTAAAATACTAATTCAGTTATTTTGTTATATTAGATCTATTTTCTCTAGGCTCAGTTTTGATAATTGATGTCTTTCTAGGAATTTTTCTATTTTATAAAAGTGGTCTCATTTGATGGTATGAATTTGCTTTTAATTTTTACGGTGTCGGTTCTGATTTTGATAATTTGTATATTTTTCTCTGTCTTTTGACATTCTACCTAAAAAAGGCTCATTGATTGTATCAAATCTCTCTAGATGAATCAAGTTTTTCCTCTTATTTTCTCCTTTGTTTTTTATTAATTTCTGATCTTTATTGTTTCTTTTCTTTTCTACTTGCTTTGTGGTCCAGTTTTTATATTTCTAGTTTATAAGGCTGCGTTACTGATTGGAAACTCTTCTTTAAGTGCACACTTAATTTCTTTCCCAAGGCTGTCCCCGTGCCCTTGGTTTGTGTGCTGAGCACTTACAGCCCTGGCCACGGAGCGACCCCGCCGGGTCCTCCCGCCAGTGGCAGCCAGTGGTGGCAGCCCCCGAGAGTGGCCGTGGGGCTGCGTAGAGGGGTTGCTAGAGTGTCTGGGGGCAGTGAGGGGGAGACTGATGCTCTAGTGGTGACTCTAAAATACTCGGAATCTTCTGAGCCATCGTACAGTGAATCATGGTGTCTTAGTAAAAGTTGAAAAAAAAATCTTTCTTATAGGAACTAATTTAACTCATAAATTTTGTTGCTAATCCATTCAGTTATGAATTTCTTGTTAGTTTCTTATTTCACCTGTGCGGTTCAATAATACTTGAATCGGGGTTTTCTAGAAACACGGGGTTTGTCTTAACAGCACTTGAGGATTCTCCAGGGTCCAGTATGGCTGATAATTGATTTAATTCTGTTACGGTAGGGAATGTCTAGAATAGTTGAGTTCATTTCATAAGACTTGTTTCAGGTCTTTTTTCCTTGTTGGTTATTTTGGTTGATTGGTGTTGGGTTTTGAGCACACTGATGGTGCCTCCAGGCATTCCCAGCTTCCTTGTGTGGGAGTTAGGACTGGAACCCGGGCTCAGGGCACCTGCACGAGGTCTTCAGGCGAAGTGTTGGCTTCCGCCTCTAAGCTATCTCCTTGGCCCTTGGAGTTAGATTTATTTTCCTTTCCGTGAGTTTTTCTTGTTCGGTGGCTTTTGCTGTCAAAAAATAGTATTGTTACTCTGTTATGCTTTCTCTTCTTTTTTTCTTTGTTCGTTTTTGTTTGTTCTGTTTTGCTTTTGGGCTGGATGCAGGGGACTAGCCCTGGATCGGCTGCGCGTAAGGCAAGTGCCAAGGCAAGTGCCTTCCCCATGATACTCTCTCTGGCCCCGAATTCTCTTTGTCCTTTCATGCCTATCATGCTTTCCATTCTTTGGTGGTTGTTACTGTGAAATCTACATTTGGTAGTACTGGTCAGGGGTATTTGATGCCACTGCTTAAATGTGGCCTTCCACGTAGGAAGTTTACCTTTTCACACCACAGCCCTGCCCTGGACCATCTATTATACCATTATTTCTAAAAGATAATTTTGCTGTCTTCTTGATTTTTTTTTTCCCTTTCAGCATATTGAATATATATTTTACCTTTGGCATTTAAAAATGTATTTATTATCTTCTAACCTTTGTGTTTCTGTTTAAAACTTAACTGTTAATTAGGTTAATGATTCTCAGTGCATGCAGAGTAAATATTTTCTTTTTTGCTTGTGATATTTTTCTCTTTGCTTTTGCTTTTCAGTTTTATGCCGATGTTCTTCGTATTTATCACACTTCAGATTCATTGAACTTGTAAGATTTGTAGATTTGACTTATTTTAAAAAATAAAATTTGGGGAGTTTTGATTTTGTTAAACTTTTTTCCCTGCACCTTCCCTGCACTCTCTGGGACCCCAAGAATGTTGGTAAGTTGACCTCCACTGCACAGACCATTTTCTTCGACCTTTCATTGCTCTCTGTTCTTCAGATTGGCTCATTTCCGCTCATCTCTTCAAGCTCATTGATTTCCTTCTGCTATCTTCAATCTGCTGTTCCGTCCCTATAGACAGGTTTTTAAGTAACTATACTCTGCAAATTCAGAATTTAAATGTGTTCTTGGCATAATTTTCGCAGCTTTATTAAGAATATTATTTGTGGACTTTCCATAATTAAAAGTTAAAATATGACTTCGCATGTAATATTTTGAAATTTGTTTACTTAAATTTTTATCTGAGTTCTCTGATGTGGTTTGTAGTGACTGTAGTTTGTCATCAATATGGACCTTGTTTTCACTTTTTGGGACACATCTTATGACGTACCGTTGAAACGGAAAGCTTGGCATCTTGGATCACATACTGGAGCAGCTCTAGATTGGGACTCTTCTCTTGTCCAGATTACTTACTATTACTATCATTGTTACTGTCATGTCACTGTTGTTTGTGCATGATGAAATAATTCAAATTGTCTTTTTGCTTTTCCCCTTTTTTATTGAATCATTGTGAGATAGACCCTTACCAAGCTGTTCATGGGCTGGTGCTATAGCACAGCGGGGAGGGCGTTTGCCTTGCACACGGCCGACCCGGGTTCGATTCCCAGCATCCCATAGGGTCCCCTGAGCACCACCAGGAGTAATTCCTGAGTGCATGAGCCAGGAGTAACCCCTGTGCGTCGCCGGGTGTGACCCAAAAAGCAAAATAAAAAGCTTTTCATGATTAGGTTTCAGTCATACAACGTTCCTACACCCTTCCTTCCACCAGTGTACATTTCCCACCACCAATATCTCCAGGTCCCCCCCCTGCCTGCCTGCCTGCCTGCCTGACTCTGTGGTAGGCACCTCTTTGTCTGTCTCTGTCTCTCTCTCTCTGTACCCTTCTCTCCCTGTTCCCTCTCTCCTCTTTGTCCTCTCCTTTCCCCCACCCCCACCCCTTTTTGGCATTGTGGTTTGCATTATAGATACTGAAAAGTTGTCATGTATAGCACTTTACATGCTGAAGTCAGTTTTTGGGGAGAAAGTTTTATGGGGAATAAGGGGTATCTGTGAATATTAGAAAATTTGCAATTGTAAGATTTCTAAGGATTGATGAGCTTCATCAGAAGGGCGAGAGAGATAGTACAGCGGGTATGATAGTACTTGTCTTTTGCAAGAAAGATCTGGATTGGGTCCCTTGGACTCCATATAAACCCCAGTGGAATGGTTCACGAATGCAAAGCCAGGAGTAAGCCCTCAGCACGGCAAGGTGTGGCCCCAAACTCCTCCCCCTCCCCCTCCCCCAGGATACAATATTGAAATGGATTTAAAAAATGAATTAGTATTATATATTTTGTTGTTCAGAAGGAGGATTACTACGGAATTATTCTAGGTGAGAAAAACCTCTTCCTTTGAACTATAAAAGTTGTTGTATAGTAATAGGATTGTAGGGTGTTTCCTATCCCATCAGCTTCTGTAGACTCCCAGTGAGGAGTGTATACAAGCTGTTCTAAGGGATAGGAATCCAACACTCTCTCGGGGGGTTACGAGTCCTCCTCGGAGGTGCTCAGGGACCCAGCCCGCAGGACCCTGACTCTGCGCTCAGGGACTATTTGTGGAATGGGGCTTTTACCCAGCTGTCTCCCCAGCTGGGGGAAATTCTGTGAACTCTTAGTTCTTTTCTTTTTTCTTTTTAAAACTCAGCTCCAAAATATTGTCAGGAAATTCTCTTTATGTGTATGATTTGTATTCCTCATTTTTATGTTTGGGGTATAGAACCCTTTTCCTATAATTATTTCTGTCTTTCAACTTTTCCTGTCAAAGATAACATTGGTGGGACCAGAGAGATAACCCAAAACAAACAAACAAAAACCCCCACAAAAAACCCACCAGACCTGTTGTCTGTTTCTGTATCTAGGTACTAAGTGTGATGTCATGGCTGTGATCTTGCCATTTTGTATATGACTGGTTTTATTTGTTATTTGTAAGGCCTGGTATTATGTTTATTTCTTTATACCTCAAAGGATTTGCAATGATATCAAATGTTTTCAAACATTTGTTTTCTCTTTTCTGACCTTGTAAGTCTCTTTTTTATCCTTTTGAATTATCTAAATGTTTTATTCCTGAAGCTGTAGACTTCCAGATCTAATTATTCTTTTGTAAGGTCAGAGTTATTTCACGGTTACTCCTTGGCACAGTTGTATTTTTCCGATTTCAGATTTAAAAACAAGTAATTGCATTGGTCATCCAGGCATAGCATATTATTCACACGTGTTCATAACGTTATACCAGTTTGACTATCTTATGTTTATTCATCTTATTTTACCTCAAGTAATATATTTTGTTTGTTATATTTCTTTTTTTTATAGGAATTGGACGGTGTAAGTGATTAAGGTGGTACTGAGGGTCTGAAGCCTATGAAAGGCAGAAACTCAACCATGATTACTTTTTCAACTCTAGAGCATTTCCTTTCCCTTCCTTGAAGTCTTCGTTTGACCTTAGTCTGAGGTAACCTTCGTAATTTTTTCATTAAAATTATAAGTAAATGTTTTTACATATAAAGCCCTTCTTTGACACATCATGTTGAATTTAACTTTTTAAACATGCTTTAATATTTATATGAAATAACTTGGTATGAATTTTTTAAGAGGCAGTATTAAGAGAAAATCGATACGCAACAAATGGACTTTATGTAGGTTTTTTTAAGCATCGCTGTATCACTGTCATCCTGTTTTTCGTCGATTTACTCAAGCGGGTGCCAGTAACGTCTCTATTCGTCCCAGCCCTGAGATTTTAGCAGCCTCTCCTTACTCATCTTTCCCAACGATTGGAGGCTCTGTCAGGGTCAGGGGAATGAGACCTGTTAATAGTTACTGTTTCTGGCGTATCAAATACGCCACAGGGAGCTTGCCATGCTTGTTTAGCATAATATACAAAAAAAGGTGTAGCTTTTATAATTGCAAGTGAAATTTAAGTGGGAAATTGTTTTCTTCATTAATCTTTTAGCATTGCGTTTTTCACCCTTCTGAAATCAACATATATTCCCAGATTCAATTTACTGGCATTTCCAAGGAAATTATATTTTTTTACTTGATAAAATTTAGACATTTAATCAGTTTTCATGGTATTTGGCTGTGATTTCTTTGGAAGCACCACGCTCCCCAAGCAGTGCTCAGAAGCCCTGGAGCCCACTGCAGGCATCTTGGATGCCTCCAAGGTCACCATGACAGTGCTGGAGGACCATGGGTGCGTGTAATCAAACCACAGGGTATGGCCTGCAGCTTTTTGAGATACCTCCCTGACTCCAACTTTTTTTTAAAAATTTCTTAAATTTTGCTTTTTGGGTCATACCTGGCGATGCTCAGGGATTACTCCTGGCTTTGCACACAGGAATCACTCCTGGCAGTGCTCAGGGGACCATATGGGATGCTGGGAATCGAACCTGGGTCAGCCACATGCAAGGCAGACGCCCTGTTCGCTGTGCCCCCCTGATTCCAGGCCCCCTGACTCCTGATTTTTAAGTTTCATTTATTTTAGTTAAAATTTTTTGGAATGTTTTAGCACTTATGAAAGAACTTAATACATAGAATCTTCCAGTACCAGAAGATTCTTAATACATAGAATCTCCTCTGCACCCCACCCCATTCATGTCGCGTCTCCTGCTCAAGCTCAGTGTCCCTCCTGCCCTCCCTTTCTTGCTTCCTCCCTCTTTTAATTGTGTGGTCTCCCCCTGCTGTGCTCCTGGCTTCCTGCTGCCCAGCTCTTAGAACTCACCCCATGTGGGCTGGTGAGGTCCAGTCTAGCCTCCCCTGCCAGGACCTGCTGCACTCTCTAGCCCCTCCCGCTGGATTCTTTAGATCTTGTATGTGAGGGAGGTTATTCTGTGTCTTCCCCTCTTCTTTTGACTCGGAGAGACTCTTCAGATCCATCCAGGGAGCAGCGAATTGTATGACTTTACTCTTTTTCATTACTGTATAACTGCTATCCCATTATTCATCAGTTTACTCGAGCAGGCGCCAGTGACGTCTCCGTTTGTCCCAGCCCTGAGATTTTAGCAGCCTTTCCTTACTCGTCCTTCTCGACGGTGCCACATTGAAGGCTGTTTCAGGGTCAGGGGAATGAGACACATCTTTGTTTCTGTATTTGGCATATTGAACATGCCACGGGAGCTTGCCAGGCTCTGCCATGTGGGCAGGATACTTTCAGTAGCTTGCTGGGTTCTCCGAGAAAGAGAACTAGACTATAAGAGGTTGCGCGGCCGCTTCTGGGAGCTTCGTTTTATAATCTCTGGATCTTGGCCCTTGATGAGGTTACGTGGCGCCAGGGGCATTGGTGGGTGTAACTGCCTAGCTACTGGAAAATGGGGGATCTGGGGGGAAGAGGCCCAGTCCTGATCCGAGCAGGTTTGGAGATCTCAGCCCTAGGACCCACACACCTGGATTCTTCTGCAGTTCCTTCATGTGTGAGGTTCGTCTGAGCGTTGGAGAGTGGCCCTGAGCATGGCTGTGGCTGGGTACTGGAGGTCTGCGGCTGCCAGGGCTCTGCTTGGGGAAGGGAGGGAAACTCCGCCTCCCCCCAAGGGGCCCCAGTGAAGACAGCCTGGCGCGCGGGCAGGAGACTCTGCCACTCTTTTTCAAAGCCAAGTAATATTACACCGTGTATATATCCCAGTTTCTTTATCCAGTTCTTGGACACTTGGGTTGTTTTTATATTTTGGCTGTTGTGATAGTATTGCAATCTTGAAGAGCAAATGTGTTTTATGAGTACAGTTTTGGGCCGTTAGTTGCAAAAAGTGGAATTGCTGCGTCATATGGAAATTCAATTGTTAGTATTTTGAGAGTCCCGTGTTGTCTTCCAAAAAGGTTGACCCAGTTGATATTTCTACTAGCAGTGAATGAGGATTCTGTTCTCCCTACATCCATGCCAACATTGGTTGTTTTTTTCTTTCTGATGTGGGACATTTAAAAATGTAACAGAAGCATACCAGTTACTGCACAGTTATACTCACTGTATGTTTGCTTAAATTATTATAAGGGGTGATCACACTGGTAACTACTTTGTCACTGTCCTCCCGTTGTTCGATTTGCTCGAGTGAGCCCAGTCATGTCTCCATTGTGACACTTGTTACTGTGTTTGGCATATCGAACACGTCACGGGGAGCTTGCCAGGCTTTGCCGTGCGGGCGAGATACTCTCAGTAGCTTGCCGGGCTCTCCGAGAGGGGCGGAGGAATCGAACTTGGGTCGGCCAGGTAGGCCACGTGCAAGGCAAATGCCTTTCCCGCTGTGCTGTTGCTCCAGCCCAACTACTTTAATATTAGATAAAATATAGACTTAGCTGTTATGATGGTAGCTTATATAGAATTTCTGTTTACCTAAAAAATTCATGTAAACTATTTAGATTTCATGGAAGCTCTGTAGAATCATCAAGCCTATTCTTTGTTTCTCTCTGCTGTTTTTGTTATTTTCTGTGGTTCGTGGTATTGTTTGCTCTTTATTGGATGCTTTTGGTCTGTTCAGTTTGGTGCTTGACGGTGCTTGGAGCTTCTGATTTGCTAGATAGGTGGAGATAGAACCTGGGCATCCCCCGTGCAGAGCTGCACTCAGGCTCTCTCAACCGTCTCGATGGCCCTGTTGAGGAGATTGGATTCTGGGCCTCATGTGTGACCATGTTCTTTCCTGCTGACCTATTCCCTGTTCTCCAAGATGGTTCTAATCAGGTGTGTTAACGGCAGAAGGAAAAGGAAAGAAACTTTTTCTTCCTTTAAGGAAAGTTGTGTGTATTATGTCAGTTCATATCCCCATGGTACAGATACTGCTAGGTCACAACTCTAAAGGGGACTGGAATGAATCCCTAATATTTTTTTATTAGATAATAAGTGAATGTGTTTGCGTGTGGAGGAGCAACTAATTGTCACATGAGTGTATTGCCAGATTTGCTTTCTACCTGTTTGGTTTAGACATTAAAGTATTTTTATTGTTCCACATGTTATATCTGTTTGCCTGTGAACCTAATTTAGAAATTATTAGTTTGGAGAGGCAATTTGGAGAGGCAACTCCAGTTTGGTGACTAGTTTTCATGGTGTATTGATTAAAATCACTAGCCGCGATTTCCTAAGACGTAGTAAGGTTTTAATATTTATTTTAAGTGATTTGGGGCTGGGGCGCATGCGGCTTGCTCCACCTGTGTTGCTGGGGATTGAATCAGGTTGGCAGCATGCATGGCAGTGCCCTACCCTGCGCTACCTCACCAACTTGCAGCAGGGTTTTATTTATCTTATCTTGGTTTTGGGGCCGTGCCTGGCAGTGCTCAGGGGTTACTTTTGGCTCTGCACTCAGGAATTACTCCGGACACAGGCTCAGTGAACCATATGGGACGTCAGGGATTGAACCTGGGTCAACTGCATGTGAGGCAAGTGCCTTACCTGTTGTACTGTCACATTGGCTCCAAAGGTTTTGTTTTATTTATTTATTTATTTTGCTATTTGGGTCACACCCAGCGATGCACAGGAGTTACACTTGGTTCATGCACTCAGGAATTACAGTTGGTGGTGCTCGGGGGACCATATGGGATGCTGGGAATCGAACCTAGGTTAGTTGCGTGCAAGGCAAACGCCCTACCCGCTGTGCTATTGCTCCAGCCCCAACCCCAACCCCAAAGGTTTTCAACATTTTAAACAATTTTGTTGAGATGATTATTTTTTTTTAACTGCTATTAGGTTGAAATGCTTCTTCTGACTTGGGGTGGGGGGGAACCAGGGACCAGAGAGATGTCACAGCGGGTAAGTCACTTGCCTTGCATGTGGCCTACCCAGGTTTGATCCTCAGCATTCCATAAGGTTCTCTGAGCATCTCTACGAGTAAGCCCAGAGCACAGCTAGGTGTGGCCCCCAAACAAAAAAATAATCAAGAATAAGTAATAGATTTGTACAGTATTTTAGACCAGAGCAAATGAGGGAGTCTTGGGTAGATCTTTTTAGTTATACACATGCTACATGTAACTGGTTTCTTCTACAAAGTCTGTTATTCTGAGATTTTTGGATATGACTTGATCACTTGATCACTTGACATCCCGCTACTCATCGATCTGCTCGAATAGGTGCCAGTAACGTCTCCATCTGTCCCTATCGCATGCTAGTGTAGCCCAATGGTGTCTGCTCACTACAGGAACGAAGAGCCTCAAACCATTTGTTCAGGGTCTTGATGAAGAAGTCTGACCATCTCGTAGGTGGGCGGCCATGCGATCTTTTGATGTCCCGTGGAATTGTCGGTAATGGCTCTAGTCCAGCGGTCGTCTCCAGATCTCATTACGTGTTCAGCCCATCTGATTTTTGCTGCCTTGTCAAACTAGACAGCATCCCTGATTCTCGATTGTCAATGGACGTTGGAACTCCGAATTCCTTCTCTCACTTGAATGAAGCGTGATAACTCCAAGCATAGCTCTTTCGATTCCTCTTTGGGAGACCCGAAGAGCGTTCTCATTCTGTTTTCATAGGCTCAGGTCTCTGAG